CTCTTCTCCAGAGAACATACCTAGCAACATGAGGCATTACAAGTAATTTAAATGACACGTATATTGGTTCCTTATGGACAACAACAAATCTCTCTATTTGTTCCAGCTCCTATATTCTGAGTCTGGTAATTTTTCTCAAAACTATTATTAGTTAAGTTTATCATTACTATTAACAATGTCCGTTATTGGGCCATGCGGACGTGCTGCGCAGTAGCTCCTGATTGAGTTGGCTTTTGCGCAGTGTTGACGTGTACTTAGCTCTGTGAAGACCTGTTTGCGCGCTCTCTACGAATTGAAGCAAGATGCCCTCCATCGAGCAACTTTACCAACAGCTTAAGGAAGAATTGAGGTTGGCGAAGGTGGAGATTCGGCGACTGACCGAGGAAAACAAGATGATTCGTAGTAGTCCTCCTGTTTTGAGTCCTCAGGTCAAGAAGGGAAACTGGTCAGTGGCTGGACAGCAGGGAACGAAGTTGACGATCAAGAAGACGAATGGAAAGGTAGAAACAATGAAGAAGAAAGAGACTGCCGTGGAAACTGTTGTGGAAACATCTAATACATTCTCAGTGCTACCCGACAAATGTGAGTCGACTACTGGGAACATCACGACGAACGACACCAAGGAAGGTAAGAATATTGTTGTTGTTGGGGATAGCCAAGTTAGGTATAGGGATAGGGCATTCTGCTTGAAGGACAGGAGTAGGAGACAGAGAGTTTGCTTTCCTGGGGCTGGGATGGAGAATATTGTTAGCCATCTGGATGACATCATGAGAGGTAATGGGAGCAATCCTATTATCTGTCTCAGTGCTGGAGGCAACGATGTTGGCAGACGTAGGAGTGAAGACCTGATTAGCAGGTATAGGTCAGCAATAGAAATAATTAGGAGTAAGGGTGGGAACCCTGTCATATGTGGTATTTTGCCAAGGAGAGGAGTTGGAAATGAATGGTTGTCCAGGGCAATTGGTGTCAATTGCTGGCTGGACAAATACTGTAAGGAAAATGCGGTAACATTCGTTGACAACTGGGACCTCTTCTATGGCAGAAATGACATGTATGCCAGGGATGGGGTTCACTTATCTAGGTCAGGGGTGGTAGCACTGGCAACTGCAGTGGAGGGAGCAGTTAGGACTTTAAACTAGGAATAGTTAGTGGTATGGGTTTTGGCAGGAAAACAGTGAAGTCCCAGTGTAGTAATATTACGAGTTCTAGGGGAACTAGTAATAAGCAGAACGAGGTAGATATTGAAAAGCCAGGGACTTTGGGTGATAAGGACAGTAATAGGTTTAGTAGAAAAACAGAAATGAGAAGGAAGGGTAAAGAGAAAGGAGAGTCTTTCAATGTTTATTATGCTAATTGCCGTAGTGCTAGGAATAAGATGGATGAGTTGAGATTAGTTGCTAGTGCAGGTAACATTGATGTATTTGCCTTAACTGAGACGTGGTTTAATTAAAAAAGTCGGGACATGCCTGCGGAATGTCATATTCAGGGTTTTAAATTGTTCCAAGTAGATAGAAGTATCGGGAAGGGGGTGGGGTGGGATTGTATGTCCGAGATCGCTTGAACTGTTGCATAAAAACGGGTATTAAGTCTGAAGTAACACATACAGAGTCTGTTTGGATAGAATTTTCAGAGGAGCATGAAAAACTGATTTTAGGAGTGATATACCGTCCCCCAAACTTAGATAGGGACCAAGGGAGACTACTATGGGAGGAAATTGTTAAGGCCACAAGGCACGATAATGTAGTAATTCTAGGAGACTTTAATTTTAGTCATATTGATTGGAATTTCTTGACTGGGAATTTAGAATCATACGACTTCTTAGAAGTAGTTCAGGATTGTTTTTTGAAGCAGTTTGTGACAGAACCTACAAGGGGAAATAACCTGCTTGACTTAGTTATGGCAAACAATGAATCCCTTGTTAATAATTTAGAAATTTCAGAGCAACTGGGTGCTAGCAACCACAAATCAATTACATTTAGCATTGAATGGAAGTACGATAGTAGCGATAACTCAGTAATAGTCCCAGATTTTCGCTTAGCAGATTACGATGGGCTTAGAGAACACTTACCATCTGTTGACTGGGGTAACGAAGTGAGCTATCAATATGACAGTTTTCTGAACACTATACATGCTGCTCAAAGAACATTTATCCCATATAAAGAAATTAGATCAAATAGAAATGACCCAAAATGGATGAATAATAGGCTCAAATATCTACCAGGGCACAAGAAAGGAATTTATAGGCATATCAAAAGAGGTGAGGGTCATCTTATGAATCAGTATATTGACATTAAGAGGGACATTAAAAAGGGGATAAGAAAAGCTAAAAGGGACTATGAAATTAAAGTTGCTAGGGATTCTAAAACTAACCCAAAAAGTTTTTTCCAGGTCTATAGAACAAAAGTTAGAGATAAGATAGGTCCCCTTAAAAATAACTATGGGCACCTTACTGAGAAAGAGAATCAAATGTGCTCGATTTTTAATAATTATTTTCTCTCAGTTTTTACACAGGAAGACACTAACAATATTCCAGTAATTAATTTTTATAGTGGGCTAGAAGAAGATAAATTATGTAACATCACAGTCACTAGTGAAATGGTTGTGAAGCAGATAGACAGACTGAAGCAAAATAAGTCGCCGGGTCCTGATGAGGTTTTTTCAAGGGTTCTTAAGGAATGCAAAATGGAACTCTGTGAACCTTTAACTAATATTTTTAATTTATCTCTTCAAACAGGTGTAGTGTCTGATATGTGGAAGATGGCTAATGTAATTCCTATTTTTAAAACAGGGGACAAGTTGTTACCGTCAAATTACCGCCCAATAAGCCTGACCTCAATTGTAGGCAAATTACTAGAGTCAATTATAGCTGAGATTATAAGAAGCCATCTCGATAAGCATAGCTTGATTAATGATACTCAGCATGGATTCACAAGAGGCCGGTCTTGTCTAACTAATTTATTAACTTTCTTCAGTAAAGCTTTTGAGGCTGTAGACCACGATAAGGAATTTGATATTATTTACTTAGATTTTAGTAAGGCTTTTGATAGAGTTCTGCACCATAGACTGTTAAAGAAAGTGGCAGCTCATGGCATTGGGGAAAAGTGCTCTCGTGGATCGAGTCATGGCTCACTGACAGGAAGCAGAGAGTGTCCATAAATGGGGTTAAATCCGAGTGGGGATCTGTAACAAGTGGCGTTCCACAGGGATCAGTCTTGGGCCCGTTGTTGTTTATAATATATATCAATGATCTTGATGAGGGAATTACTAGTGATATGAGCAAATTCGCCGACGACACAAAGATAGGTAGGATAATTGATTCAAACGTAGATGTTATGGAACTTCAGAAGGATTTAAACAAACTCTATTCTTGGCCAGAAAAGTGGCAGATGCAGTTCAATGTAGATAAATGCAAGGTTCTGAAGCTTGGGAGTGCCCATAACCCTAGTACTTATAAGTTAAATGATGTAGAACTTAGCCATACAGATTGCAAAAAGGACTTGGGGGTTATGGTGAGCAGCAACCTTAAATCAAGACAGCAATGCCTAAGCGTACATAATAAGGCAAATAGATTACTGGGATTTATATCAAGAAGTGTAAGCAACAGAAGTCCAGAGGTCATACTGCAGCTTTATACATCATTAGTAAGGCCTCACCTAGATTATGCAGCTCAGTTCTGGTCTCCATATTACAGAATGGACATAAATTCGTTAGAAAACATTCAGCGTAGGATGACTAAATTAATACATAGCATTAGAAATCTTCCTTATGAAGAAAGATTGAAGACTCTTAAGTTACATTCACTTGTTAGACGAAGAATGAGGGGAGACCTGATCGAAGTGTTTAAGTGGAAGATAGGTATTAATAAAGGGGATATTAGTAAGGTCTTGAGGATGTCTCTCCAAGAGAGAACCCGCAGTAATGGATTTAAATTAGGTAAGTTTAGATTTAGAAAGGACATAGGAAAGTATTGGTTTGGAAATAGGGTAGTAGATGAGTGGAACAGTCTACCTAGTTGGGTTACTGAGGCTGGGACTTTGGGTAGTTTCAAATTTAGGTTGGATAAGTACATGAGTGGGAGGGGTTGGATTTGAGTGGGACTTTCACATCAGAGCTTATTTCTTGGGTGGCATTGAAAGTTGGGTTGGGCAAATGTTTTGTTAGTGGGATGAATTGTAAAGGACCTGCCTAGTATGGGCCAACAGGCCTCCTGCAGTGTTCCTCCTTTCTTATGTTATGTTCTATAGATTGTAGTCTTAAAAATATCAAATCTCTGGTTTCACTAGGGAAACTTGAAAAAAAAAAAAATGGTTAGTCTTGCCTATGATTAAATGGCCATCAAAATGGATTGTAGGTAATTTCACTCCAGGCAATCTAACTCTCAGTATTTTGATGTCCAGTTAGTCTCACTCTGACATCTGGTTAATTTCACTGTCAATATAAAAAATAGTTTGATTTAGGTAGTAAAGATTTAATTTTAATAGTTTTGAAATCTAACCTATCTTAAGGTGACATAGGTAAACCTAGTTTAATGCAATGTAATCTAAATTAACCTACTGTAACATACCCTAACCTGTTAGGTAAAAGGACAAGTGCAACTAATGTGACATTTTATTGTAGCAATGTTTTGCTCTCCAGGAGCTTTGACAAAGCTCCTGGAGAGTGAAACATTGCCACAATAAAATGTCACATTAGTTGCACTTGTCCTTTTACCTAACATTGTCAGTAATTCTACTAACATTAATACATAACCTAATCTAACAATCCAACCTAATGTAATTCAGTCTAATGTGCACTAATCTAACCTACACTGACTTAATTAACCTAATCTAGCCTATAATGCCTTAACCTAATCTAGCCTATACTATCTGGGAGTTGAATTACCAGGAACCACATTGCCAGTCACACCTTACAAAGATAAACACAATGGTCTTTACCAAGCTTACAGCATGCAACAGTTTTTAGGGACTATGATACCAATTATCAAAAGCTTCAAGACTCACCTGATATAAATGTGCTTGAGGGCTGTGGCAGAGTTGACACAACCTGCTGGCAGACGAAAGTCCTCAAGGATGTCCTCCCACTCACACCGGGCATTCACCTGTTTATGATAAAACATTCGGTGAAAATATTTTTAAATGACAATGTAAAACTCATTACTGTTATAAGAATCTTTGTGTCAGTTTCACAGAAAATTCATAGAAAGCGCTCACCAAACAGGTCTTGGAAGTTTTATAGGAACCTGAGGAGTTGAGAACATTACACTTTCAGTAACTGAAAAGCCCTTTGTCAAGTACCAGTTAATATAATTCTTGCATTAGTCACTCATAAAAACCATATATACAGGTACTTGTACAGTAGGACCCCACTTATACAGCAGGTTAGGTTCCAGGCTACCGCCGCAACGCAGACATCACCGGAGAGCAGAATGCCATTTTTTCTACTTATAAATGTATATAAATGCCAGATAAGTTTACACTAACATATATTAAGTTAGCAATAGAACTAGGCATTAAAAACAATAAAAAGTAAAACACACACACAGTACACTCATTATTTACCTCAAAATATTTGTAGTCTTAATGTAGGGCAAAAGGTGAGCAGTATTTATTGTAAGAAGTCAGGTGTGGTAGGTATGGTAGCCCTCCTGGCCACCCCATCCACACATAATATACTAAGACGCTTAAAGCGCCCTAGAGTGATAAAATGCATATACAGTATACTCATTACTTACGTTAAAATATTTGTAGTCTTAATGGTCTTAATGTAGGGTGAGAGGTGAAAAGTATTTATTGGTAGAAAGTCAGGTGGGAGGTGTAGTAGCCCACCTACTACATTTAAAGCACCCTAGAGCAATGAAATACATATACAGTACACTCATTACTTACCTTATAATATCTGTAGTCTTAATGTAGGGTGAGAGGTAAGCGAGATAAAAACGAATAAACGAGAGAGAGAATGAGTAAGAGGACAGAGCTGCAGAGTACCCATGTAAACAAATGTGTTTGGTAATGGATGATACACGTTCATACAAAAACCTTACACTGTGTACAAGTTGTCTCCACAGTGGTAGAGTAGAATAAATAAAGACTAACACTTCCATTCTGGTGTAACATCATTTTTAGAAGGAATGATGCTCTGACAAGTTAATAAATAAGTCACTGACTTTTTTTGGGTTATCCTAGGTTCTCTACACATACATGTATGCTGCTATGTATGAAAATCTATGTACTAACTGTATTTGTGTATACCTGAATAAACTTACTAACACCCTTTCTCATGCAACACATCATTTTTAGAGTGAATGATGATATTTTTTTATTATCATTATCATAATAAAAAAGAAGCGCTAAACCCACAAGGGTCGTGAATAGCTATAGATAGTGAAGGCATATGAAAGGAATATTTTTCTACAGTTAAGTAACTAGTGTCTGACTAAAGAAAACGTAATTCTTCCGACAATCATACAAACCGCTTGGTAAACACATCTCATACAGTGGACCCTCAATAATCGTAAGGCTCGAAAGTCGTAATTTTCGAAAATTGTAACGTTATTTTCGTCAAAACATGACTCGCGAATCGTCGTTTGACTTGCAAATAGTCATTCGTCTGGGACGCATACATACAGCCCTGAGCCACTTCACACTCCTTCCCAGCCAGTGTGCCATTGTTTATCAGTGAGTGAGGATGACCCCACGAGTTCATACGATACATTTCATAATATTTAATTCGTTTTAGTGTTTACAACTGCTAAATAAGTCACTATGGCTCCAAAGAAAGCTCTTAGTGCCAGCCCTTTGGTAAAGTATGTGAGAAACACACACAATTTAAGAAAAAGTTTGTAGAAAAATACGAAGATGGTGGTGGTGGTAGAGTGGTAGCAGTTGTGGTGGTGGTAGAGGGTGGTAGCGATGGTGGTAGAGGGTGGTAGTGGTTGTGATGGTGGTAGTGGTTGTGATGGTGGTAGAGGGTGGTAGAGTGGTAGTGATGGTGGTAGTGATGGTGGTAGAGGGTGGTAGTGATGGTGGTAGAGGGTGGTAGTGATGGTGGTAGAGGGTGGTAGTGGTTGTGATGGTGGTAGAGGGTGGTAGTGGTTGTGGTAGAGGGTGGCAGTGGTTGTGAAGGTGGCAGTGGTTGTGAAGGTGGTAGTGGTTGTGATGGTGGTAGAGGGTGATAGTGGTTGTGATGGTGGTAGAGGGTGGTAGTGGTTGTGATGGTGGTAGAGGGTGGTAGTGGTTGTGATGGTGGAAGAGGGTGCCTTCTTCAGTGACTCAGCGATTCTACCAACTGCTCCAACTGGTATTATATAGAGCTACAGAAAACACCGCCGCCTCAGCTGTTGCTTCACCATTATGGAAGGCTTATGCTCTCAGTGGCCCTTATACACCCAACAATAACACAACACCTCTTGTGACATTCATAATGACTTACTTTATGCATTCTAGAGTATATTCCATGTTTCTGTGTTATTAATATTGTTTATTATGTCATATTAGTTGAATTGTGATAGATAAATAAGACAGAGTTGATATTAGTGTCATATTCTCCAACAATAAACTCCCCTCCCCTCCCTCTGCCCTGTCTGCCATACACCAACAGAAGTCTTCAGTAAAGGTAAGTGTGATGTTAAACGCTCATTTACACATTTTATTAGTGCTTTACATTTATTTGGCATTCTTTTCTGCACGTAAATCTATATTTAAGCTAGGGAAGTGACCCCTGAAGTGACCTAGAGTCCTTATGGAGGGTGATTCCCCTTCCAAACAAAACCCTCTTCCCTGTCTTCCATTCATCAACAAAAGCCTTCAATAAAGGTAACTGTCATGTTGAATGTTCATTCTTTTGTGCATGTAAATCTATCTTTAAGGTAAAAAAAAAAATTTTTTTTGATACTTCTGGGTGTCTGGAACGAATTAATTGGATTAACATTATTTCTTATGGGGAAAATGGATTCGCAAATCGTCAATTTCGATAATAGTCACGCTCTCTGGAACGGATTAATTGCGAAAAACAAGGGTCCACTGTATTTATTTCAATTTTTATACTGTGGGTGTCTGTATCATGTTTATATGTTATCTAGTGTGTTTATTATATAATTTTGAAAAAAATATTGATGGATTAATGGAAATGTCTATATTAACGTAATATACGACATTTAATGCACCCAAGAAATTATTATATGGCGTCAAGACTAAAAAGACTCTTAGTGTTTTAATGTGTCCTTGCACGCCTGCACAGTGTGTAAGTACATTTAGGCACAGGTACACATAAGTATAATTATCAAAGTACATATAAAGTATGCAATAACTTTAAAACACTTGAAATGGAAAATTTCCAGACGTGATAGAGAGACGTGCTCACGGAGAACGTAAACAAACCGTATTAGAAAGACCAGGTCTTATAGCACGTTCTGGTCATAATTTGAAATTGCCATATTAGCGGAACACCATAAGGCAAAACGCCATAAGGCAGGGCCCTACTGTATATGACAAAGATAACCCACTGTATGTGATGCAGGTTCCAGTGATCAAGCCTCCCCCTTCCCCTGTCCCCATCTCTGACTAGGCATTTATTAATATGTTAGTTTTCAAGTCAATTATATGCATCTATATTAAAAAAAAAAAGTAACACTGACAAATCTACCATGTATTATGACAAAAACTTTACTTCACTAATTCAAAACTTTGCTGTTACTACCATCTGCAGGATACAAACAGCTTCGAGCAAGATAGGTAATGCAATTTTGCTTAAAAAAAAAAAAAAAAAAACACCCTCTTTCACTTGCCCTCCTCATAACAGAATATGAAAGAGAAATACAGCAGGCTTTTGTTCCCCAGTGTAACTGCAGCATCACATAGAATACAGTAGCCCTACAATGCAAATGTCTACAATTGTTAAAATAAAAACATCATTTAGAATTACCATTAACTATCTTTTGCCTAACATCCTTACTTTTGTACTGTACATTAGTCTTGTGATTTGGGTAATACCTGGGAATGGCACATTTCCTATATTCATTCTTAGGACATTTTCTTTTTTAACTTCTCTATCCATAATCTTCCATTATAACCATTCTATACTGATAAAATTTTTTTAGTTGTTTTTGATAATTCATATAAGTTGCAGAACTAAAACGTTCCCTTCTAATATTTTATTTTTATTCGTCTTTCTGAACTCTGCACTGTCTTGTACCAAGTTTTCTTACTTATAATTAAACTGTTTGTTTTCTGTTCTTCTACCAAACCATTTTTTAGCAAATTATGTTATGACATTTTCAATAAAACATAACTGCTCTTTCCAAATTGGCTTAGACAATATTGCAATTTCTTACTCTCCTCCAATGAATACCAGATCTAGTATGTACTGTGTGTTGCTTCTCTCTCTCACACACTGCCTCCTCAATATGCTGATGCATTAAGAAACCAGTCATTACACTGACAACCTTTGTTGACTGTCTGCTTACCTTTGCATCCTCATAAGTTACCCAGTCTGTGTATATTGAAATGCATTATAACCTCTTCACGATCACTTCTTTAGTATATTATGCAGTCCTTCATGTATCTTGTCAAACTCTTTCCTCTCCCATGTAAAATAGAGAACTATATGCATTTACAAATGTTTCATCTTTGTCGAATGAGTCACTTTCTTCTTGCAACCCAGACTGCAATCAGCAGTACAACTGTGATGGCTGTGGGTTCTATGTTGCTCATTTTAAATAAATAGTCCTGGCATAATCTGGGGCCCCACCAAAGAACATTTGTCAAAATGTCCATCCCCCCCCCTCTCCCAAACCAATAAAATAACAGAGCCAGCTGAGAAGAGGGTAGTAATAAAGATGCAACATCTTACAGTTAGAGAAATGTCAACAGCAAACAAGAGCACATAGTCTACATATCTGCTGCAAAAAATATGCAGCTTACAGCAAAATTGCACAGTACAGTCAAGCTAAATGAGAACCTATTGTAGTGGAAAATAATGTACAAATAAAGTATATCCCAGGAGAAATACAAAACTATATGGCTGCAGGTGCAAAAACCCATATACGGTTAGAAAATTAAAAAAAAATCTCAAGACTTAAGTTGGATGAAGGAATCTGGGAAT